TTAGACGGAGGCACATATTTTAATTTAGAAAAGCTATACAGTGACTAAGTTCTCGTGAGTGTTCTCGAGGGAGACTGGAGATTAGAAAGTATTTGGGAATTAAAATTTTTTTCCCCCCCCCCCCCCAAAATATCTTCATCCCAATCAAGGCATAACTGGTTTATACAAAGAATTTTATGATAAAAGGCAATAACACAATGTCATTAAAAAACTCTATAAAATTGTTAAAGAGCAGTTTGTTTGCATTTCTCCTGATTGATATGTAAATACAGTTTGAACTGTGTTTGCTCGGTCTCTAGTGCTTAATAAAGAGATGAATTCACCTTTCTGTGGAACAAGTAAACAGACTTTAAACTAAGCCGACATCAGACAAAGTGGAAACGAGTTTATTTAATCGAAACTAAATCTAGTTTAAGAAAGATAAGTCAGTGTACATAATAATCCATTACAGTAATTACACCCACCACCAAATATGTGTTTATGAGGTTGTCAAGACACAATAAAATTCATTTATTTCCCCCGAAGTCTATAATGAAAAGTCACTGGCTGGATCTCTATCGAACATGCTAACTCCAATATTTGGGGGGGGGAGGGGGATAATATTTCTCGGCTGTATTAATGCCTTTCAGTGCTCCTCACTTTTGGATGTTCCCGTGTTTGAAAGGATGCAAACATTAATTACATCTGAAGGGGAAATGTCGACTTAACCACAGCACTTTCCCCTCGGTCTTGTATTGTACTCCGGGAGAAACTAACCCTAATTTAAAAAATCCGCAGAGTTAACCCTGCTCTCGCTCCCTTCGCGGGAGCTGGCAGCGCTGTGCCACGGACCAGGAATTCCCCACACTTTCTTCTTTTAGCAGACATAACAGCACTAAGCTCCAGGACTCCCGCCCCCGCCATGCTTAACGTGATGTTATAGATCTGAAACGAATATTCTGCGTGGAGAAAGAAAAAAAATAAGGAATATTCTTTGGGTTAGTTGAGAATGTGGCTGTATAAAGCAGGACATAATATAAACAATGGAAGGTCTCGAAATTCCTGTTGACACACGTGATGTTCTCTAGTTAGAAATAAAGGGGGGGGGGAGGCAGAAAGAATCCGATAATCTTTTTTTTTTCTTCTGTCTATTTCCCTTTTTCTCCATCCAAACTAGCACTTGGTGTCCGAGTAACAGCGGCTATCTTGTATAAATAAAAGACTGGAGCTTTCGAAAGCTGCTATTTAAACTGGAGGTTGGGTTGTTTCCATCCCGGGCAAGCTGCTTTCTTTCTCTTCAAAAATATGAGCATTTCATAATACCTCTGTAATTCAGAGGTCTTTCAATGACTGCGATTCGCTTCCGTGGTTTAACTGAGGGGATCTGGAGAAAAAACCGAAACCGAGCAGCAGATGCGAAGGAAAACATGCTACGAGGTCTTTTAGGATGGGGGACTTCTTATTTTGTTACACTCACAAAAGGGATATTTGGGACCCGAAAGACAGCGAATTACATGTATTTCGGGCTTGTCCGATACGAGCTGCTTAACTTGGTATGCTTTATATATTTACAGCAAAGTTAATTTCTAAATGCCCTGCATTACCCATAATATTTGCCTTCCTATTTGCCGCCCCTCGGTGTCTCAGCCAGGCGCGCACCCCGCGCACCCACGCACACCCACGCACACCCACACACGTGCGCGCACACGCACTTTCTCTTCATCTCCTTCTTTACAAGCTTCCCAAATCGCTACAGGGGGAAACAAAAAAACCAAACAACAAAAAACCCACAAAAGCGATCTGCGTTAAACCGAGACGCAGCCTGCAGCTAACCTCTCGCCTGGGTAATGAGGTGGACGTGCGCAGGAGAACTGCGAGGTCGCGCGTGTGTGTGTGTGTGTGTGTGTGCTTGCGGAGGTGGGTACGTGTAGAAAATTAAATACAGTCTGATAAAGAAAGTTAATTCAAACTACGTGTCGTACACAATAAACTATCTTTTTATTTTGATTATAAATAAGGTGACTGTACTTCCCTTAAAATACAAGTACATAGGAAAACCTGGTAGAAATTTTTTTTTTTTTTTACAAGGTATTAAAACTGGACGCTCTTTAAATCGGCCGCATGTTCTATACTGTCAGCAGATTCTTCATTAACTTGTTTCTAGTGGCGTTAGACTTTTACCTTCTTTCTCCTCCGTGCCTTTGGCATTTGAATTTCTACTCCCGGAATACTTTGCTTTCTCTAGCAAGAAGTCTCTGAGGTACCCCCCGCCCCCCCAATAACCGGGCTAATGAATTTGGACTCGATCCCTTCGCGCTCGAGTTTGTGAATCCCACGGGTTTGCTTGTCACTTTTGCACGCTGAGGACTGATCCTGTATCCCGTTAACTCCGCGCAGCTCCCCTCTGGGAACAGGGTCCGGGCCCTGGGAGGGGCGGGGGCCTTTCAGGGTGGTGCAGCATCCCGGGTTGTTTTTCAAAAAATGCGGGGAAGGGAGGTTCGGGGGGGGAACCAAAGGGAAATAAAAAAAGAATATTCATAATGTGTATAATTTATTAGAAGCTTCTTAGGAACTATATTTAAGCCAAATATCTACATAAGTTACAACAGGAAAAGGCGGCGTGCGCAAATAACAAACTGCCAGAGGATTTACGACGGGGCGATCAGTGTCCATAAAAAAGGTGGGGGTTGGTTTGGTTGATTGTATTTTTTTTCTTTTTCTTTTTACAACAAAATATACAGGCTACTAAAAACTATGGGTTTAGTCCAACTTTTGACAGCATTATACAGCTACAGGTTCACATCAAACGTAAGGAGGAAAATAAAAGCCAAGCCTTTGATGACTCCACGTCTCCATCCGCTGGCCCTGGCGGCGGGGCTGGGAGAGGAGACCGGGGGAGGGGGGATGCTGCTTCTTGTGTCTGGGTGACGCGAATGCGTTTTTTTGGGGAAAACCACCCCATCCCCCAAAATCTCTATATTTACATGCAAGTCCTACACGCTGGCAAAGTGTACATCTGAAATCCAAGCCTTCGGACCATGCCTAATGATGGTCCCCTTTCTGCAGACTGCTCCGTGGTTATTAGTCAGATTTTTTTTTTAATACCCCATACAACAACCTTGGGAAAAAAAAAAAAGAAAAAAGAAAGAAGCAAAACCATCAAGAGTAACAACAAAACCGAACAAAAAAAA